CCTAAAAAAATAATGTATCACTTCAATGAGAACAGGTTGACCTACTCTTGAATCACAATAACATTGCCAAAGCTTAGTTTGAGAACAGGTTTGTTATATCAAAACAGTGAATCTAAAGTTTCTAAAAATGGGAAGATCTGTTTAGTGCCTAGCATGGACTACTGCATGTAGAAGGATTCAAAAAATGTGACCTAGCCTGGCTCGGTGGCTCAGCCCGTAATCCCGCGCCTTTGGGAGGCTGAGGTGAGTGGATTGCCTGAGCCCGTGGGTTCGAGACCCGCCTGGGCAGCGAGACCTCATCTCTACAATAAATCAAAAAATCAGCCGGGCGTGGTAGCGCATGCCTATAATTCCGGCTACTTGGAAGGCTGAGGCGGAAGGATTGCTGGAGCCCAGCAAGTCGAGGCTGCGGTGGCTGGGAGCCGCCACTACTCTTCAGTCTGGGCGACAGAGTGAGACTCCAACTCAAAAAAAAAAATGTGACCTCACTATGCCCTGAACTCTGAAGTACATCATCTGAAGAGATCCACTGCACTTGCACATCAGTCCATTGTGGCATCAGGAAAATTACTCCAATGGGAAGTTACTCTGGAGTTTACTTTTCTTTGGTTACTCTTTGAAACTAAGCTTTGGCAATATTATTGTGATTCAAGAGTAGGTCATCCTCTGGATACAACTAGTAGAGTTAGTTTTACACAATAGACTATTGTTCACAAGCATTCTGTCATCACACACCTCCTGTAGCTACTGGTTAAAACTGGGGTGTAACTGTTGGCTGTACAGGCTTAGATTAATAATCTATAATTGCATTGGTCTGTAAGCTCTTTCAAGCCACAGGAAGATACTGTCAAAGGTAAGACCACTTGGCAAATTAAGTGTCTGTTGGTTAGTCATGCTACATTTGTGTGTGTATATGGAGGGGAGAGTGAGGGCAAGTAGTGATCTAGAAACATTTATTCTTGTGTCGTTCTTTTCCATTCCTTCAGTCAATAAATATATTTTAGGTAACTATTTACTGAGTACATATTACCTACCAAGTACTACGCTAAGGGTTAGGGACAAAATGTTAATAACTATAACAGACACTGGTGTTTTCATCATTATTATCCATGCAGAAAGCCAAATGCCTTCCTTGAGACTTGGCTTGTACATAATATTTAACTCAAAAATTGCCAACTCTAACTGGGGACCCTCCATCCTCCAGTTACCGAAATAGAATTCTCATAAACTATGCCCCAGAATAGAATGCACCGTAAGCCATTGAACACCGGGGGAAAAAGAACCCTACTCTCAGCGGATGCCTCTGAAGAGGGGAACTAGGTGACCAGGACCCAGAGCGAGGGATATAGGCTTTTCACTGTACACCTTTTGGGATTCCGACGTTTTCCCCGGTGTGCATTTATTCGCGA